GGAGGAGGCATACGAGGCTCCATCCAGAGAAGCTCCTCGTATGATCTCAGGATATCCAGGCTGATCACCTGGACGTACCTGCAGAGATGCTTTTTACATCTGAGCGAGTGAACATTCTGAATACCCCAAATTGATATTGCCAGTTTCTGAAGACCCTTGTTCTGAAGTCATTCTGAAGACATCCTGAGACGTCTGCAGTGATGTCAAAACGATATCTGAGCGAGTGAACATTCTGAATACCCCAAACTGATATTGCAAGTTTCTGAAGACCCCTATTCTGAAGTCATTCTGAAGACATCCTGAGAAGTCAGTTTCTGAAGACCCCTGTTCCGAAGTCATTCTGAAGACATCCTGAGAAGTCTGCCAGTGGAAGAGTGCATCCAATTCGTGGTGAAAGATGACGAGAGACAACCAGCTTCGACTGGGTAAGTGTGTGTGTGTGTGTCGGTCTGCCCGAGGGTATGTCTATCTTCCTGCTTGTCGATCTGTCTGCCTGCCTCATCACCGATCTATCTACCTGTCTATCTACTTATGTATCTACCTATCTAACTGCTTATCTATGCAACTACCCATATGTCCATCTATCTGTCTTTCTACTTGCTTGTCTATTCGTTTAGCTATCCGTCTGTCTTTAACATCTCACTCTATCTATCTACCTGTCTGTCTTTCTCTCTATCAGTCTACCTATCTACCTGCCTGCCTATCTATCTACCTTTCATTTCTATCTACCTATCTATCTATCTATCCGAATCTGTTCATATCTGTGTCTGCGCACTCATCTACTCCTTCGTGTGTTGGCCGCAGGCTTATGTGGGTGTATAGACAAGGTTTGCTGATAGTCGCACATTCGTGTTGCTGGTCCTTTAAGCAGGCGTTTCCCTTACAGGCCTGATGGCCCAGTATAATAGGCCATAAGTGCGCCATTGGAAATCCTTACCTTCTCTATTGTCCTCATTCTGAGGCTTACACCTTAAGCCCTCGGCAGCATCAGTAGTAGTGGTCGTGGTCGTGGTCGTGGTCGTCGTCGTGGTCGTCGTCGTAGTAGTAGTAGTAGCAGCAGCAGCAGCAGTAGAAGTAGTAGTACTAAATGCTAAACCCTGGACTTTAAACCTTCGGGTTTGGGGTTTTTAGGGATTTGGGTGCAGAGTAACCGCAAAACCTCGGATCCTTCGAGGAATTCAGCTGCAGATCGAAGCACTGCGAGCTCTTCCCCCTGAGCATCAAGAACCTGGGCACTGCAAGAGTGTCCTCTTACAAGGGCTTAACAGAGTCTTATAAGGGTCTGAAAATATTCGATAATGCAATTCCACATGCTTCCTTGGTGTACGTGCAGTATAAAACCCTTCACAACGGTAGGCTTCTTGTTCATGCCCTTACCTGAGAAAGAGTTTAGGATTTGGTGTCATGTAAAGGTTTGGCGGTGGTCATCTAGACTGTTGAAGGATGTTTCTGGGTGTCTGCGGGCTTGATTGGGAATCAACGAAAATCCCTCAGGCTTGTAGATCTTATACAGTTCCACTAACACATCTCCCACAACGCTATTCTAATCATGCCCCTTCACAACTTCACAAAACCCCTAAAAAGCAAGAATATTCCTTTACAGTCCTTATTTGCTCTGATGTTCAAAATACACGGACGGTTGCCCAAGAGCCTAGGAACTGGAGCCCTATCACGAAGCTACGAAGCATAGTGGTGCAGCACGTACGGCACGGCACAGGAGGCTCACAAACTCCTTGACAGGCCGGGGTAGTTGTTTTATGGACTTGTAAGTTGCACAGCCCCAATTAGAAATACCAAAATAAGTGCCTTCAGCCTCCAAAATTATAAGAACACATAGGCTGTTTCTACGCGCGTTTTGGCTGTAAACCCCAAAAAACCCCAAAGGTTTGATTCAATCACACCCCTGCTCGCGTTCCCTGAGCCTTCGTCCCAAACTCACAGCATTCCGAATCCTAATTTAAAAATCCCGATTCAAACTGTTTAGTCGTTGAAATGTAGGGATGAGAAGCAACAAAAATCAGGATCGCACCCTGGTGGGCACGGGCTTTGTCCGCATGCCGCAGGAGTCAGCGCGTGCGTCAGTGCTTCGTACCTCCCCCTTACATGACCGAAAGCATATGGCTTAGATTATGCTTTGTCGAGGTGCCGTTTCAATCGGATCTTTCCGGGGGGGGGGGGGGGGGTTGGAGCAAGTGGGTCATAGGCATCTTAATGGCAAGGATTCTACAAGGCTTCGAGGCTTCTGCATAGGGTTGTATAGGAGCTGTGAGATGAGTGGACCTAAAATTTACATGAATTTAATTGTAAACGCTGCGCGTCGTCC